GCACCTGTGCAGCCACAGAGCCTGGCTGCTGGTTTGGTGCCTGAGCTCTGGCACGGACACAGGGGGGAAAAGCCGGGAGGGACTCTGGCAGCTGGTGTCAGTGAAATACCTGTGGGACAAAAGCTGGGCAAACCTGCATGGGTTCCATGGAGGGTGTGCTGGTCTTGGGTTTCTTCAGGGATGACATCTGCTGGCTTGGTCTGCAGAGCAGATCACTGCGAACAGTGGTCACTCCTGCTGTGTGGCTGATACTGGTGGCTCCTGCTTTTCATCTTTGCTCCCAGCTGTCTGTACGTTTCAACTGCCAGTCTCAGTTGGGTGTAATGGAAGCGGGACCTCCTCTCCTCACAGTGCCCTGAATGTCTGGGGACACTGATTGCTCAACCCGCTTTTACTTTCCTAGAGATGGGAACTCTTTCCAGCTGGGAATTTCTCTCTTGCACTGAGCAGTGCCACCTTGGAGGATGGGATGATGCAGGTGACTTGAAACTGTTTTTCCTTCCCTTTTGGGTGGTTATTCTCAAGTTTTTTNTTGTTCAGCATCTTAGCTGTAGAGGGCAGTGTCACTGGCCCTCATATGTGGGATCCGAACCGGGAACCTCTGGCATCCCAAGCCAGCTCTTAACCATCATGCCACTCGGCCGGCCCAGGTGATGTCTTTTAATGTATGCATTTAGTGCCTTAAATTTCCCTCTAACACTACTCTAGCTACATTGTTAAAATTTTGATATGTTTTATTTTCCTTTTTACTCAGTTAAATGTATTTTTATTTTTTAAACCATTTTGTATTCTTCAATTACAGTTGACATTCAATATTATATTAGTTTCCAGTGTAAAACATATGTGACTAGACATGTATATAACTTATAGTCATCACCTCAATAAATCTAGTACCCATCTGACACCATACATAGTTATTACAATACTACTGACTGTATTCGCCATACTATACAGCCCCATGACTATTTTGTAACTACCAGTTTGTACTTGTAAATCCCTTCCCCTCTTTCACCCAGCCCCCCAACACCCTTCCCATCTGGCAACCATCAAAATGTTCTCTGTATCTATGAGATTGTTTCTGTTTAGTTTGTTCATTTATTTTATTCTTTAGATTCCACATATAAGTGAAAGCATATTGTATCTGTCTTTCTCTGTCTGATTTACTCCACTCGGCACAGTACCTCTAGTTCCATCCATGGTGGTGCAGATGACAAGATTTCATTCACTTTTACAGCTGAGTAATATTCCATTTTATCTATGTACCACCTCTTCTTTATCTATTCATCCATCAACAGACACCCAAGTTGCCTCCATATCTTGGCTGTTGTAAATAATGTTGCAATGAACATAGGGATGCATATGCTTTTTGAATTAGTGTTTTGGGTTTCTTTGGATAAAATACCCAGAAGTGGGATTACTGGGTCCTACTTTGTCTCTTTTATAGCCTTTGTTTTTAAGTCTATTTTGTCTGGTATAAGTATTGCTACCACAGCTTTTTTGTTTGTTTGTTTCCATTTTCATGAAATATCTTTTTCCATCCCTTTACTTTCAGGCTGTGTGTGTCTTTCAATCTGAAGTGAGCCTCTTATAGGCAGCATATGCATGGGTCTTATTTTCTTATCCTTTCAGCCACTCTATGTCTTCTGATTGGAGCATTTAACCCAATTACATTGAAAGTAATTGTTGATAGATATGTAGTTATTGCCATTTTATTATTCATATTTTTAGTTTTTCTTAATTTTAAAGAAGTCCCTTTAACCTTTCCTTTAACCTTTCATGTTACTGGTTTGGTGGTGATGAACTCCTTTAGCTTTTTCTTGTCATGGACATTTAAATGTATTTTTTAATTTCCTTAAGATGTCCCCGTTTGACTCCTGGCTTGTTTAGATATGTGCTATTTAATTTTCATAATTTGGAGATTTTCCTGCATCTTTATGTTACTGATTTTTAGTTTAATTCCATGATAGTCAGAGGACACTGGCTGTATGATTTCAGTTATTTTACATTTTTTGAGGTTTGTCATAAGATCCAGAGTATGATCCTGTGAGGATGGAAGTCTATAGAGTCTCCACTTTCTTTGCCTGGGATACAGCCACAGGTTATCTGTAGCATTTAACTGGAGTAGAACAGGTATTGTCTAAAAGTTTTCAGTCTCGATAGGCTGACCTTTTTCTGGTCCTTAGGCTAGAGAGAGCACAGGTTTCTCTTGTTGTTGTTCCTGTTTTTTGTCTATGCCCATTGGCATTCCCAGGTTGCCAGCTTCTTCAGCTCCAAGTCTGGGATGTATAAGGAAAACAGAAAATCGGAAAACTCACCAATGGCTCGTCCTTGAATATGNTCCGAACCGGGGCCCTCTGGCGTCCCAAGCCAGCTCTTAACCAATGCGCCACTTGGCTGGCCCAGCGATGTTATCTTTAATAAGAGCTGAGACCATCGTGTCAGAATGGAAGGCGTCTCATCTCTCTTGTGTGAACACATGGTGTTGTCCAAGGAAGGAGGAGGGAATGAGGAAAAGGAGAAAATGCGAGGACCAGGCAGAGTGCCTAGGTGGGAGGCAAGTCACCCTGAGGGGGTCTTCTCTGACAGATAGGGGCAAGCAACAGACGTGCAGGTGGCAGTGCCCCTGGTGGCCCTGAGGCCTGACGCGGGGCAGAGGAGTGAGCCCTGATTCTCCACATTGTCTAGAATTCAGCCAAGTGATCTGGCTTCAAGGCAGCCTCCAGACCCAGTGGGCAATAGAGTGTTTTCAGGGGGCGGGCAGACAAGGCCATGTCTAGAGAAGGTTCTACCATCTCCACATCCCCCTGATAATTGGAGTGGGTCCATAAAGTTCAGCATTGTTGGGGGCATTGTTGGGCTGGTCTTCAAGTGCTGACCTGTGGCTGAGCTGGGACGGTTAGGGTACCTGATGCACCCCCGGCACCCCACCTCTCAGCACTCCCGCTTACTGAGCCTAGAGGCTTCCTTACTGAGGTCCATGAGCTATTAGAACAGAGGACGCAGGCCAACTCTGGGGGTCAGGGCATCCTCCTCTAAGCTCCCCCACCATGGCTGTGCCATGTGAGTATTTTCACATTTATCTCTTTGTACCTGGCATCCTAGCTTTATGTATACATCCTATTTCCCTACTAAAATTGCTTCTGAAGGAAATTCTAGACTTTCTGAACTTGTGATTTTTCTCTTGAGTGCACATTTGAATTGCTTAACTTCTTGGTCCCACTATCACTTTACTTAAACATTTTTTTCTTAAGTTTACTAACAACCAGATAAAGTAATATTATTTTCCCTTGTGTTGCATGAATGCCTTCCTCACAGGCTGTGTTTTGTAAGTCCTAATTTTCTTAATTTTAATAAGTGAATCTTTATTGACCGTACCCATTTATGGTCTCTAATAATAGAGGGTTTTTTATAACATAGTTTATTCTTGAAGATATTCACTGAAAATTATTTATCATGTAAAATAACCTAAAAGTTCATAGCTAACAGGTTTAATATACATACACATGTATATAGATATACATATACAGAGAGTGTAAAAAAATGTATACACATTTTAAGAAAGGAAAAAAAGATATTAAAATTACACTGATGGTAACCACTTTGAGCACCTCTTATAATTACAGAAGTCAAATGAGACTTGTATTCATGTTTTGTTATTGGTATATATTGAGTATTACAATTTTAATACAGTTTTTTCCTTTCTTCAAATGTGTGTACATTTTTTGGCACCCTCTGTGTATTAGACATACACACATCTGCATGCTAGAATTAAAATTTCCATGTTTCAAAGTCATGGTCATTAGAGATTTTAATGTGGGAAATACCCCACTCTAATATTAGAAATACAAAAGCTGAATTTTATATTCCACAATCAAAAAGAAAATGTATCTATATGTAGAAAAAATCTGGGCAGAAAGATCTCTGGGCACATAAACAAGATCTAGACTCAGTGTAACAGAGAAGGGTTGCACATTGCATTATCTCTTGAAAGGTGAACGTTTTATCATTTGATTTCATTTTATGTATTTTCATTGTGTTTTAAATAATGGAATAAGAAACAGAAGATGACCTTATTAATGAAATTTGGAGTTACAACCTAGTCAGGAACGTCTGTGGAGAAATAGAGGTGCCACAGTGTGACAACTTTGTATGTGCACAGAACCCACAACCACACGATGTGAGGTGGCCACTGCATGGTGGGCTGGACAGCCTGGGCTCCAATCGTGGCTCCACGGCTTAATAAATCTCATGCTTATTCTGATCCCTTGATAGCTGTACATCACGGTCCTATAATAGCAACAAATCTCTCATCATGCTATTCTGATTAGATGCGTTCATGTGGGTGAAGCACTTAGCATGGCGTCTGCTGGGCGTAGACACGGCTGCTGTCACAATCATGGCTGTTTTAGTTGTTGGTGACAGTCGTCGTGGATGGTGGCACGATTATTTGGAAGACCACACTTGGATTAAATACAGTAATTAGGTTGTACCAAAAGATTGCAATCATAACACAGTTTCACCTACTTCACTGGTTATGACAGCAGCCCCGTACACAATAATTACACCAACTTCTGGCCACAGTTTGAATGGTACATTTATTCCATATTTAGATTTTTTTGAGCTTATAAACTATTTTAGAAAATGCAAATGTTTTCAGCCTTGTCAAGGGAAGGTTTTTATTATAGATTACTCTGGGTAAGGGATGGGAAACCAAGAATAAATTATTTTGAAAGGTGTCTTGAATTGCTTTGCAAGTGGTAATGTACGGATAGACACACACAGAACCCCGGGGCAGATTTCGCTGAAGCCTTATTTCTAAATAATATTCATGTACAAAGCAAACCTATGTCATTTGGTGGGACAGTTTGAACAATTTCATCAAAGATAGTAATTAAAGCAATGAATGACTCACTTCTTATGGCTTTCTGGGGCATGGTGGCTGCGCGATAAATAACCAGTGTTACTGAGAATCTTAAAGGTCTTCATCTCGTCTTTTTCAGCTTGACCATCTCTGCGGAGTGCCCAATGCAGCTTGAGGACTTCCCAATGGATGCCCATGCGTGCCCCCTGAAATTTGGCAGCTGTAAGTCATTTTCACAAGTAAGAACCATGGATATACTTTCGGGTTGTCTCCACATTTATTCAGAAGAATTTGGGTTCCGTCTGTGAATAAGCACCTTATGAACTGTAGTCCACTTGAGGAGAGTGGAGAGTGCTGTGGGGACACACTCATGTCCTTGCAGACCAGTCTTCTTGTCTGTGTCCCTGAGAGGAATGCACGTGATGGCACTTGCCACCTAGAATAAGCTCCTGGGGAAGTGTTTCCCCAGACCTTCCCTTGGCATTTCTTTCTTGTTTTCACTTCTCAGATTGCAGTTCACCTCCTCCAAGAGAGCAGCCTTCAACACCCAATTCCCAATACCCAGTCAATAACTTTTTTAAGGCATCATAGTCATTGCTATGTCAACTCACTTCTTCTAGAATGTTCCATGAGGACAACATTGTCTGTTATTGCTTACCGTGTGCATGTATTAGGAAATATATGTTGCTTGATTCCAGCCATCCCAGAGTGTGGAGTGGTGACACTGGTCCCAAGGCAGCATGTGTGNGTTTGTTTTTGTTGTTGAGTTGTATGAGTTATTTATATATGCATATTTTGTATATTAGCCCCTTATCGGAGGTGTTGTTTGCAAATATCTTCCATTTAGTTGGTTGCCTCTTTGTTTTGTTGACGGTTTCTTTTGCTGTGCAGAAGCTTTTTAGTTTGATATAGTCCCAATTCATTTATTTTAGCTTTTACTTCCCTTGCCTTTGAGGTCAAATTCGTGAAATCTTCTTTGAACCCAAAGTCCATAAGTTTAGAACCTATGCTTTCTTCTATGAAGTTGATTGTTTCAGGTCTTATGTTTAGGCCTTTGATCCATTTTGAGTTAATTTTGGATATGGTGACAGATAGCGGTCTCGTTTCACTCTTTTGCGCATGGCTTTCCAACTTTCTTTCTTTTCTCCATTGTATGTTTTTGGTCCTTGGTTGAACCAGCCCCTGCTTTTTAATTGAAGTGTTTTTTCCATTTATATTTAACATTATTACTAACAAGGAAGCACTGTGCCTTTTTTCGATTTGCTTTCTTTTTATGTAAGTGTTAAAAATAACCTAGTAAGGGATGTTGTTATGGACTGAACTGTGTCCCTTCAAATTTATATGTTGAAGTCCTCACCCCCAAGGTCTCAGAACGTGACCATATTGGGAGATATTGGGTCTTTAAGGAGGTAATTAAGTCTCTTTGCTTTCTGTATATCTTATTCCTTTTTTGTCCCTCAATTCTTCTATATTGCCTTCTTTTGCGTTTAACTTCTTTCTCGTGTACCATTTCAATTCCCATCTCATTTCTTTAACTGTATATTTTTAGTTATTTCCTTAGTGGTTACTCTGGGGAGTAAAATTAACATCTAAATTTATGACAATCTAGTTTGAATTAATACCAACTTAGTTTTAATAGCATACTAAAACTTCGCTTCTATAGCTTTGTTCCCCTCTTATGGTGTTATTGTCACAAAGACTCTCAGGACTAGAAAAGTTGAAGTCAGCCAGGCACGTTCTTTACCTTTGAGCTTCATTTTCTCTATCTGAACAGTGAGGGTTTCTAGTAGGTGGCCTGGCTGGCTCCTTTGAGCTGTGACAATCCACCATTGCAGAGAGTGCTTTGATCTCAATTCTCTGTGAAGGAGGCTGGTGATAGATACATCAAGGACTCTGCATTTCAAGGACCCCATGAATACAAGTCTCCTTATCTATNCTCAAGGGCCATTATTAGAAGAGAAAGTACACTCCAAAGAGTTTGGAGCGGGCTGAGCACAAAGGAAGCTCAAAAGGCCTACAATTTTAATACAGTTTTTTCCTTTCTTAAAATATGTATACATTTTTTTTTGGTCACCCTCTGTATAATATCCAATGTTTCTAGTTGTATTTAGTAGGAAGAATAGGGGAAAACCATCTCCATTTTTCTGGAAGCAGAAGTCCTCCTAGATGTGTTTTTGTTATTATTTGCTCTCCCTGGGTCTTGCTGAACCTCGAGTCTCTAAATTTGTCTTTCACTGAATTTGAAGCATTTTGACTATTATTCTTTCCAATATTTTTTGTTCCATCCTTTCTTTTCCATCTGGAGTTCTAATTATATGAATTGGACCTTTTTACATAATATTTCAGATCCCCAGTGTTCTATTCATTGTTTTTTAAATTGTGTTTTTCTTCTCTATTCTTTATATTAGATCATTTCTATTGCTCTGTCCTCAAGATCATTGACTCTTCTGTCATTTCCAATCTGCTGTCAATCTCATATAGTAATTTTTAAAAAATTTAGTATATTTTCCAGTTTTAGAATTTGTATTTGTTTTTTAAAATAGTTTTAATGTCTCAGCTAAGATTTACTCTGAGTTTTTTATCGCAATAATTTTTCATTATGAAACATTACATTTTTTCCTTCCCACCCTTAAAGCATGGCCATAATAGCTGCTTTAATACTCCTAAGCTAAATCCAGGGCCTGATTAATCCTGGGGTCATTTTGCATTGATGGTACTTTCTGTTCACAATGGGACATTTTTTTTCATGTTTCTTTTACATTTAATAATTTTAAATTCTTTCCTGGACATTTCATGGTTACATTGATGAGACAGACTATGAATTCTGTTCAATTTAGAGAGTTATTTATTTTTTTAGCCCAT